CGCTTCCTCCGAAGAAAGAATTTGGCCAAGGGGCACAAGGCAGAGTGAGAGACGGAGCCAACTTTTAGAGCCCAGTGAAAGTTTATTTAAAAGTTTTAGAGCAGGAACAAAAGGAAGTACACTTGGAAGAGGGCCAAGCGGGGACAGGAGAGAGTCAAGTGCTGTGTGGCCTTTGACTTGGGGTCTTATACGTTAGCATGCTTTGAGGGAGGGGGCATGTTACCTGTCCTCAGATTCTTCCCTTGGGGAGGGCTGTCCCGATGCGCAGTGGCCTGCCAGCACTTGGGAGGGGCCACAAACGCAGTGTGTTTACCGAGGCTGTGCACATGCGCAGTTGAGGCGTTCTCCCGTCTACCAGTTAAACGCCATCATTTTGCCTCTCACCGCGTTTGCTTGAGCTCACTCACCCAAATCCTTGGATCTTATCGGGAAGCTGCTAATCACCAGCTTCAGATGCTTTCCTGGTTGTAGAGGCCCTCTCCTGCCCTGCTCACGTCTGCTCGACTACCTTGCTAACGATCCTTCCTTCCTCACCGCCCCTTAGACACAGAAGGCTGTGGAGTTTAGCAAACTTTACTGACGGTTAACTGGTGGAAAGAGACCAGCACAACACAGGCACCATCTTAAAATGGAAAATACTGGCCATGGCTTCCCTAAAAAGTAACCCGTCTTTCTCCTTGCGGGGAGTTTCTTTCCTGATTGGTTGGAATCTGCTGGGCACTCCTCTCCCCTCTACACACCCTTTTCCCCTATGACCAGCCTCCAGCCCCCACATTTATATCGAGGGCTTATGATGAGCCTTTGTGTTCTCTTCCTGCCACTCCAAACCAGGCTCCCCACCTGGCTTTCTATATCTAGAAACTCGCAGAGATGCTGTGGTTTCCATCCTCAACACCACAAATCACTACAGAAACTCCGAGATGGCTCTTCTGGGTCAGAATCGTAGGTAGGGCTCTCACACAACCTCTGCTCAGAGCACCCCAGAGTCTCCTTCCTGTGATAGCATCCACTGGCTTTATCAGGTTACCCCGCCCCAGGCATCCTAGTAGACCCCTTTCCCTCTGCCTTCCCCTCACCCAAGCTGAGAATCACTGCCCTAAGCTGACAGTCTAACTGCGGAAGCAGCATGGAACAAAGGCAGGAGTGGGTTGGAATCTAGCTTCCCTATGAACAGCTCTACAACCCTGCGCAAGTTTCTGTCATGGATGTATCTGTCTCCGCAGCATGCATTTCCCCCTTTCCCAATTTATAGCCCGCTCCCCGCCACTCCAGTTCCAGCCGGAATCCAGGTGGTGCCAGGAAGCAAATGAGTGTATTCCATTTCCCCGGCCACAGGGATTGGTTCAGGGGCAGTGTGATGGTTAATGTAAGGTGTCAACTTGGCTATGCTATGGTGCCGAGTTGTTTGGTCAAACACCAGTCTAGGTACTGCCATGAAGGCGTTTTTTAGGCGTGATTACTATTTAAATCAGTAGGCTTTTACTGAAGCACATCACCCTCCATAATGTGGGTGGGCCTCATGCAATCTGTTGAAGGCCTTAAGACAGGTTTCCTGAAGAAGGAATTCTCCTCAGTCCTGCCACACAGACCCTCTGCCTGGGTTTCCAGGCTGTTTGACCTGCTTTGTGGATTTTGGACTCATGATGGCAACATCAACTCTTACCTGAGTTTCTAGCCTGTGCGCCTGTTCCCAGAGATTGCAGACTTGCCAGCTTCCACTTTCGCATGAGCCAGTTCTTAAAATCTCTCCCTGCTGTCCCCGTACGTACATTGGTTCTGCTTCTCTGGAGAGCCCTAATACAGGTAGGCGCGGCAGCCCTTTTTCTGGGAAGGCTGGGAGATACGGAGTCTCTTTCTCTGAATGGTGGAATTCAGACAGACACGGAATAGCTGCCGGGTTTCAAGCTCTGGACCAGGCTCCCAGGAGCTCACGCAGGCAGCACCACTTGCTGTCAGTGGGACCGCTCCCTGGGATCCTCCGCTGAGACGTGGGATTACAGTGCCTACTGCAGAGGGTAATTGAGAGGATTACATGAGTCAACAGATACTAATCACTCAGGACAACGCCTGCATCATAAGTGCTCGGTAAATCCAGAAGGAAGAGGGAAAACAGAAGACCTGGCCCCTGGAAAAGTCGACGTACGAGGTGGGCAAGCAAAAGGACTCAGAGCCCTGCCGGTTTCTCAAACCTCTCCATCCAGCTCAGCTGGACACTCATTCTACCTCTGGACGTTTCAGTGACTCAGAGCCCTGCCGGTTTCTCAAACCTCTCCATCCAGCTCAGCTGGACACTCATTCTACCTCTGGACGTTTCAGTGACTCAG